AACTGACATGTCACATAGCGCTTTCAGCTTACTATGCTAGGAGCAGCACGAGCACCACAACTGTGGCCGTGACCGCCCTTTCTAAATCAAGACTCCAGGTCAGTTCGCATACGCTCATTTCCGGTAACTCTCAGACATGAAGATGGCGGAATGCCCATGCTCAAATGCGAAGAGTGCCCGGTTGCTTCGGGCTTTGGGGTTGGAACCATAGGCCCCTAGTATGGGCCCTTTACCCCGGGGTCCTTATTTGTCCATCTGAAATGGTATTTTGAGTTGAGTATACAAGGGAGGAAAAGCACTGCATAATGAACTACAATATCAGTGCTGGTATCATATGCAGAATCAAATATGGAGCGCTGAATACTCCTGACAATGGATTGATGACAGCTCTACGAAGCTTGGCCAGGGATGATGGCGGAGGGGGGTCCAACCATGTCGAGATGAAATGCGGCAAGTGTTTTCACAAACGTTTTTGCAACAGCGCAATGACGCCTACACAGAAACCCGAACCAATGCAGCGTACTCACTGCACAGGAGGATGCCGCTCGAGTAAGGGCGCTGCAAGACTATAAGCAGGCTACTCATGCGCCTACAGGTGTACAAAACAAAGCATGCTGTGCAGATGGGTTCGTGCAGGGCGGCCAGGTGTCCAAATGCTTGTGCTCCATGACGAACCCAAGCTTTAAAACATGCCTGCATGTATGACATGTTAATCCTCCGGGAAGCTTAAATGGTCCATGAAACTGCACAACCCATCTCGCGCGCATGCTGCCAGCTGTTCTCTTCTGTACAGATCTGCATATGCGGAGGCTTCTCAGGAGGTTCAGTCATCGAAGCTGACGGCACTTTGTCAGCAAGGCGGCAAACCTGCAAGAATCCAAGCTCCAACAGCGATGCGGGATTAGGCTTCCTCCTCCTTAGTATCTTCAAATTCAGAGGTTGGGGCTACGCTGCCGCCAGCACACGGTGAGACTGCATGCATGGTCAGGAGACAGCAGCTGCAGGTTCAAGTCTTTCAGAGCCCACTTTTTCCAGACTTCTTCTTGAATCTACCCTTCATGAATCTCCCAAGGCATATGAAAAGACTCTGACAAGTGAGGTCCGCGGCTTCATAGGAGGCTACAAGGGGTTTATGAGAGCTTCGAAGGTTTATAGCTAGCCTTACAAATTAGAAACTGAACGCGCGCATGTCCAAGAGCGTATGTCAAGACAGATCAGCGTGGATCCTGTTGACAAATTTTCCTGCTCCTTCAGGCATACACGATACCAGGATTCTAACAAGGAACAGACGGAGACAGTCCATTCCTTCAAGAAACAGAAGACGAAGAATATCCGTAATCACAAGCAGATAAGATTAGATGACAACAACAAAGAGTTTCTACGTCAAAGCACCCAACAGGGGAAACATTGAAATGTTGAGCATTCTGGAAGCTACCCCACCTTTCGGAGGTTGAGCCGCTGCTTTGCATACCTCACCTGCAGGGTCTCTCATAAAGTGCGGTATGCGGCTGAGGCTACGGATTCATGATTCAGGGCCTGCATCGGATCTAGGGTTAAGGGTCAAAGGATGAGAAAGGAGTGGTTGTCTTAATTTCAGGTGGGAGGATTAAACGTGTTGTTTGGTGTTAGTTCTGGTTGTGGGAGCTGTAACACATTACCCATCAGGTCCTGAAAGGGTTGTTTTGCTTGAGTGGTTCACGTCTACGGTCTACAGTCCAAGTAATACTTCTCTTAGCATTGAAATTGCGGCTTGTGGCTTTTCCTACCGGATCCCACCGCTACTTGGCTGCTACTACTTCATGCTGTGCCCGGGTCACCAGACTGTCTCTGTGCTCGAAGTTCTGGGAGTATGCCTCAAGATCTGCTAATGCGCGGCGCCTCTCCTGCGGATGGGCCGACAGGGCCCCGCAAAGCCGTCTGTTTGGGGTGTTCCGCAAATTGAGGTACCTTTTTGGAGCCCCCCAATGAACATAAATGGATGTTGGTGTCCAGATTGGGGCCGCCCTATGTATAGAAATTCCCATCTGTAGATGAGATTTCTGAGGGTAGGGCTTCTAGATAAGATTTTGACCCTTTAGGTTGAATTTCTACATGGCCGCGCAAATATATTTGCCAGTGTCCATCCAAAGCCAGGTTTCGTGGTACCCACACCACTGGTCCTGGCACTTGACGCGGAGGACCTCGCAGAGGATATCCACAACCTCTGAGGGTTGTTGGGGAATTCAGAGGATCTCAACAGAGGGCAACGGATTGGATGCTGCAGAATCAAGTTCGGAAGTGCTCTAGCCCAAGCAACTCGGCGTACAATCCCAAAAATCATTCACATGTATCTCATATATTCAGTCTCCAAAATCTGTAGGTTTTGAAGGTCAAGTTTGTGTGTGTGCTGCGCAGGTTGTCTCGCAGGGCGTGGTGGGCTCAGGACAGCTCCATACAGAGGTGTGTCCATGGATTTACGGAGATTTTTCCGAGGCCATGCTTGTCGAAGATCCTCCAGAACATTTGTGCAATTGAAAGACTTCTTATGGGATTCATCACTATTTGAGTCCGTTCGATTCATTATCAAAGAGCAAGGTCCCCAGACAGCACATGACTTCTGGGAAACCTCCCTAGAACCTATAACATTCATATCACTGTACCGTCCCCTCTTCTTCGAAATGTAACCCTCAAGAAAAACCTCATTTGAAAGTTTCCTCGAGCATTCCCTACATAACCCCTGCCAGAGGCCCCGCAATCCCCTCAAACTCCCCATATATCCTGTCGAGTCTCTGCCCGAATTTTGGAAAACCTCAATCCCCAAACCCTAAACCCTAACAACCAATCCTTCATCCTTCCACCCTCTACTAAAAATTGATGTAGACCTACAAAACATCGGCGCATTTCTCATACCTGTACTCCACTGTCCTCCTTCAAAGGGACCCTGGCCTCAACGTGACACTTGTCGATGGCCACCTGGAGGGGCGAATCACCCAGAGGCCCGTAGGGCTCCGCTTCTTCCTCCAGGAGGAACCTGGAGGATTGGCGTGTGAGGGTTTAGGGTTGGGACTTGTAGGGTTTAGGACTTTAGGATGTGCGGTTTAGAGTTTGTGGGGTGTTGGATTTAGACTGAGGGTTTGGCGTTTGAGGTTTAGTGTTTGGGGTATGCCCTCCCTTGCAACAGGAATCCTCCAAAAAAGACAAGCTCTACGAAATTGGCTGCTTACCTGGTAATCTCCGCGTGCCCAACCCGGCAGGCGCAGCGAAGCAGGGATGGAGGCAAAGGAGGGAGCCAGTGGGATACCTGAGCCACTAATTGAATAAAAGCCTTGAGTTTAGGGTCTAAAGTTGGTGATGTATCTTTTTGAATTTGGACTTGAAGCTTAAGGTTTACGATGAAGGTGGCCAAGCTAGGACATGTATTTAGTCTAGCTGGTTTAGGTCCAGGGCGAAGGTCTTTACATTTCGTTCTCTTCCGCGTGAGGTTGCCAAAGTCCAAATTTGCAGGGCTCCCCGTATTGGGATCCTGATGTTGCACATACCACAAAACCTGAAACACAGAGCCCCAATCCCCAAATTCCCCAATACCCTAAACACCGTTTTTGCACAGTACTCTTTGTTGAAACCCTCAGGCCCAAATGCCACGTGTTGTACGACTTCGAGGCCACCACGCTCAATGGCAGCTAGGACCAGCTGTTCTCCTGGGGAGTAGGTAGGCGAACACAAGCTTTAGGGAACAATTCTGGGGTTGTCGCTTTTTGGCATTTCGGGGGACGACGCAGTGTATACTCATATGTAGGACAATGTGGACCCTTATAAGTAACAAGAATGGGGGGCAAGTATATTGTATCTATATAGGTATATGCATACATATACAGGTGGGGACCCTACTTTCAAGAAATGCCTCCGTCTCAATGTTGTGGCACAAGGCGCCTTCGCAAACTCCACCTGCCTTCCCCAACGCATTTTGAGGAATAGGGATAGTCATACTACCCCAATGACATGGCAGTTGCTTTACTTCAAACTCACGAAATTATTCCTACCCAAATGGGAGCCTTCCAAAAATTGGGGACTTTTTGGCAAAGTCCCATATAAGAATGTTGAATACGATTTGAGGTCTACATTGGGGCCGCCTGTGTCTGGAAATTCCTAGATTTAACCAGGCTTTGGATACATTGTAATACGATCCCCATATACCCCATATTCTATACCCTATATAACCCGTTACAATAGCTTCCATTTTCTTTTCCATTATCCCCATATAGCCCCGATATTCCCCATACATGAGATCCAAGAAGCTGAAACTTTCAAGGGCATACCAATCCACACGCCGGTCGTTCTCGCAGTTCATGATGCCCAATACCTGTAGTTTCCAGTTTATTTTCCATTATCCCAGCAAAACCTCTAGATAATCCCAATATAACCCTAATATAAACCCAATGAAACCCCTATGTTACCCCAATATAACCCTGAACTTCAGACTCTAGACCGCGAAAAACGTCCCCACCTTCAGGCACTGACACGCTGCCTGTGGCCAACCCCTCTCCGCAGCTTGCAGAGCCGCGGCTGCCAGATTGTGCGGATCCGCCTCTCTGGGGACCAGGGTTCAGGGTGTAAGCACATACGACTAACATGATTTAAATGGGACTGTAATGAGATGTAGGGTTCAGGGGGTATGGGGATCCATGAGGTTGGAGAATGGAACCCGCCTTATTCGGCTGCTTCTCGCACTCATACGCCCAACCAACGACAAAGGACTCCGTCTGAGCCATGTCCACGGATATGTCTCCAACATTGAGAAAGGGAAACACCAGCTGGCTCAGCTGGCTTCCACTTTTTGCCGTAATGCACAATGGCCTGGGATCAGCGCCCAGCGCTACCAGCACTGCAATAAGGACACTGGATCTCGAGGCAGCTTGGATGGGCCACTCCTCCTTGACTTTTGCGTTGATATCGAGCCCAGGAAGCTGCTGCAGCTGTCGGGCCACCCAGGGCGCATCCTGATTCACCACGCCAGCTCCACCTGCCAGCCGCAAGAATTCCAGACAGGCTGTTCCAACGTCGGCCTTTGCCAGCACGAGCCGCTTCACCAAATCCTCTGAGGTCTCCGCACACTGTAACCGCATCTCATACAGGGCGAGGGCCAGTGCACTGCACTGGCTTCGCGGCTCAATGCTGCAGGGATCGGCCTTCGCATAGAGCAACATCTCCACTTTAACGACCAGGAGCTCCAGCTTTCGGCAATTGCGGAGCGAAGCATGCAGCGGCCTCTCCTGGGCCACCTGTGAGTGCATCAAGCTTAACATCTCATTCTCTGACCCAGACACCTTGGAGGATTCTCATTAAACTGGCCTCCCAACAAATCCCTAGTATGCTGCCTGCTCAAGACATCATGATTATCCGTATTTGTGCGACAACTGCAACTGCCACTTGTTCAAGAAGCTGATCACAATATCTCTCGAAGCGATGGGCTCAAATCCCACTTCACATCTGAAAGGAAGTTGTTCAAAATGACCCTTGAGCAATGCTTCAAGTTACCCCTGCATTCCCTTCATGACCCTCCTGGAATACCTCTAAGATCGCATACCCTAAACGACTAAAGAACTAAGGCATCCTAGTAGATCCTCCTGTTGATGAACCTTGGTATACCAGCCTCGGAGTCTGGGTATACGGGAGCTCGGAGGCAGGCCTCCAGCAACTTCTCACTACCGGGCTCGCCTGGGATTGGAGCTTTAGGTTTAGGGTTGGGATTCAACCCTTGGAGTTGGTTTTTTGTGGCGTGCCTCTTCTCCAAAGCAGAGATGGCTGGGTCCGAAGATTTAAGGTTCAGGATTTAGTGTCTAGAGTTTAGGGCTTCGGGTGTAAGGCGGAGTCAAGCAAGAAATGCAGCGATGACAAGATGCAGCAAACAGCCTGAACTACAGGTACGTGAAGTCTTCACACCTTGTGCTACATTTATGCTACTAATTGTTGGTCGTGTGTTCAACTCGGAGGACCTGGACATACCTGGACCACCCCACACTCAAATGCATGCGAATTGAAAAGAAGAATGCCGGGTGAGTGAATGAGTTCACGACTTCGGCCTGAAACATGACTTCTGATTCGTCAAGCTTCTACTCTTGGCATGATCAAGCAGCTCTTGCCCTCGGTCCTCCACCCAGACACTTCGTGTGACGATTTGCACTTCCTGGGGCCGGCCAGCATCTTCCCAAGAGTAGCCCAGTTCCAGGATACCCTTGGAGGGTACGACAACTTGATGGAGCCAGGGGAAGTCGTACCTGTCGTCCATTTCAGATAGAGCCTCGCGAAGCCCTCTCCCAACATCGGGCACAACCTGGAGAAGAGCCAAACCCTCCGCATCTCCTGAAAACTGGAAAAGCACTTCCCCGCTCAACCGTCGCACGATCAGCTCCGGATGTGCCATGGCTCTAAAGCAACTGCCTGGGCGCACTAACTCGTGGGCAGAAGACTGCACATGGCTGAGCCAAAGGGAAGCCGAAGCACAAGTATCCGAGGCCCTGCAAAGCAAAAGCAAAAGGAATCTCATGCCCTTGCTTCTGGCACTTCTGGCATGTTGTTTACTTTCACAGCCTCATCCACAGCTGCTGATGCTCTGACCCGCAAGCATATGTGAGTGAAGGCGAAGTGAAGTGGCGCTGCTGGCTAACGCGAACGAACCCAACTTGTGCGCAAGTCGTCTTGCAGAATTTGCATTCTCACGTGCCGAATGAAAACAAGGTCTTGTTTGGGCAAAAACGGCTGTCATCACTGAACTGTGCATGTGCAAAGCACCTGGCTCATTAACTTCAAGCAATGATAGAATTACAACGATACGTGGCAAACAATTACGCAACTAAATGGGAATTGTGCGAAATGCTATCGTAAATTTGGGAAACATAAGGAGGCTATGCAATATTCGGCAGGGGTTTACATTGGCCTTCCTTCCCACTTATGGTTCAAATGGCCGTTTCCAGTGACCACACTGAGATAGCAACTGCCCTTATTGCTAGGGATTCCATTATGGTTGAGCTTCGAGGAACCTGTCCTGGAAAGCGATGGGTATACCCACTAGCTGGATCTCCCATGGGGTCTGGGGTGTACTGCAGGATTGCGAAACTCGATGAGATGAAGTCTTCAACAGTCCTTGGTATGGGCCAGTTTCAGTGATTTACTTGGTAGCTGGTGTAGTTAAGAACCTCGAGCCTCTTGCAATGATTCAGATGGCATGCGAGCTCAATATCTATCATGAAAAGCCTTCCTGGGGGAGCTTGGGAGGTACGGCGACATGACACGACTACACGTTTGAATACACATCCCCAGGAAGCGCAAACAAGATCTGCGGATGCAGCGAAGATAGGCAACATTTCCAGCAGGTAGTATTGCATCGGAATACTTGCGCACACACATTTGCAAGCAGCCAACCGAAGCTTGTCAGTGAGGTTGTTGCAGCTCGATTCGGGGTGCGTGCACCTGGAAGCGCAAGTAGAGCAGCATCCCCGCCCGCAATTTGAAGCACTTCCCTTGTTGTTGGGCTGCCGCAGTTTTCACGATCTGACAACTTGTTGGTTTGAATTCTTATCGTATGCTGCAAGACACAACTTGGCTGGGCCGAACCTATCTTCTTGAAGCCTATTTGGAGGTTCACAGGACGTGGACTGGACTCCTAACCCTACTTACAGTCCCTCTACCTGGTTACCTTGTTGATGAGTAGAGTTGACAGCCCAGTTCTAAGTATTTAGAAAGTCCCATGAGCCTCCAAATACAGTCCTGGCACCCCTCCCACCCGGGGTTTGCACTTCTAGCACGCCTCCTGCTATGCTCCTCCGTCCTCCTCTAGTAGACCTTCAATTGCATGTGGACATGTTGCTATGGGCCATGAGGCCAATGTTAGAGTCTTCTTCATTGATTGCATACTTTAGATGCAAATCAAGGAAGTGAATCGAAAGCGCTCACGACTGCGTTCTGAAGTGCGTGCAAATCCTTGGAACACAATGTCAGTGCATTCTTGCATCAGATCACGGTGCATCCTGTGGGCACCCGAATGCTGCAGGGCTTCTGACAACACAACAAGGTAAGGTTCAAGATGTGGGCGTGTATTCATGTCAACGTGACCAAAGTGTGATTCACAAAACGTGACATTCCCATCCATCAAGAAGTCCATCTGAGTACGGCTCCATGCCGTAGGGGCCTGCAATCCAACCTCACAGCGCTGAAGTCTCGCTTGGCGGCTTTACTTATTGGCGCATCAAGGTCTGGTCCTGTTGTGTCACTAACAGACTTACGGTTCAGAAGCATATCCCTGAGATCTCTAAAGGTCGAGCCCAGACCAAGTTTCAACGTTCAAGGTATCCTGAAGGGCATCTGGCAAGTCTTCAAAATGTGGATCCAGTCAACATGCCAAACCCTTCCGAATCTAAGCGCAGCCGCACAGAACGCTTCGCGACACCAAATCAAGTGTTACAAAACGACTGCCACAGCACAGTTTTCATAGTACTGACTCGGACTCATGATCAGGTATCAGGCTATCAATTGCGGTGCCTTGCAGTAGTGTTTAGTTCCAGCCCCGAAGTTTAAGAGCGGCACAGCATTGCCGAGAACCCGACAGCTGGGACCCCTCGAATGGCGCACTTTCGCCTGACCTTTGCAACATCAGCAGGTTCGGATAGGAAGCAGCTTTTCCCACCCTCACCGCGAACGAGACGCTTCAAATTTCGTTACCAAGCATAATGAACTCTTTTGGGAATGTCTCAGGGGCGCTGTTGAGGAGAAAAAAAGCAAACTGCGCCACAGGGATCTTTATGCACCAAGTCGACCCATATCATGCATGCTTGATTACTTTGATTCAGACCCACGATCGGTTTGCTCTTAGCAAACCTGAATAAAAACGGCCCATTGCTAATCCTTTCACGAAGACTCCCTGCCTGAAGAGATCGATACCAGGCTTGGGATTCAATATCGCGAAAGCGAAGAGTGGCGACAATGCAAATGGATCAAACCTCGTAGATCTGGGGTGGCTGGATTGGGAAAGCTGGGGCGCGCTCAGGCCTCAGATTGCAACTGTCTGTCCATCTGAGTTCCTGCCGCGGCTAGATGGCCTGAGATCTCGTCAGATACACCGAGGTCTTGGCGCCAACTCCACATCCTGCTTCAATAGCGTTGCCTCAACACGGTGGAAAACGAACTTGGGGAATGTGGAACAGGGAGGACTGGGTACTCTGGGAAGCAACCTCATGTCATGCTCTCACAGGGACACAAGACCTTCAACTTAAACACAATCCGCAGCCCAATACATCACAGCTCCGGGAAAGTCACAGAAACAAAAGTTGACTGATGCTTGTTTGCAACGCCTCGCAGCCTCTTCCAAAACTGAGTTGCCAACCAGCTGTGCAAACAGCAGCGACAGCGCCTACCAATGCGTGCTTGCTGCATTTTGAGCGTTTCTGCTCAGACTGTTGTTTACTCTTGAGTTTTGGAGCAGCAAGCGGTACTTCGCTCCTGGCTGTCCATACACATGGCATAACAAAAAAAGTGGCACAGAGAGAATCGAAACAGGTTGGTGGTGACCCACCGCTGCCACCAGATGTTGTCTGAGGTTCCAAAGCTTGGTGGAACAAAACGCATTGGTTCCATCCCGAGAATTGGCGCAGGCGTCCTTGATCCAGATGGCAGCCCATCCAGCTGCCAGCAAAAAACAAATTGCAAGGCATGTGTTCAGCCAGGCTGTCAGCCGGTTTCACTCGTTGACGTGTGAGAGTGATTGTTGCTTCTCCCTCAGCTGACACCACCATCGCCACCGCTTACAAACACAGCTTTTACTTTGACTTCTACATCTGCTACTTCCACTATCTCTTAGAGTACAGCCATCACTCTGCACGTTTATTCATGGCCTGGTCCCGCTCCGCCATGTCCATCTGAACTGATATGAAATGTGGAGTCAGCAATGGCTGGAGTCTCATCAGTTACTCCTTGAATTGCAGTGACCGACTCCAGACAGTTCCAGTCGGACGATTCCAGATGTGTAGTTTACAGTCCTTGGCATGGCCTTTTACTACTCCACCGCTGCAACAAAAGGCAGATCCTGACTCACAGTCTCCAAGACTGCGGCTGCGCACAGGTTTCCTCTAGATAACACCCAAAACCCCTCTGCGAAATGGCCCTACTAGATTGGCTTGAGGCTGTCGGGAGTGTTGCCATGAAGCAAGGCGGGTAACCCTTCTAACTTGGATAAGGCGGGACATCTAAACCCAAACAAGACAATGTCTTGATGTTGGCAGCTGGGCTTCCAATTATCCACAGGAGACAATGAGCTACGGTGTGGCTAGGAGAAGCAGTACCGCGACAAATCAACATGAGCCGTTGTACCTTGACTATCTAGGGTTCCCAACTATGATACCCAAATCAAGCTGCGTGAAAGCTGAATCCAGCGGCCGACTAAGGATCACGCAAGGAGGAGGGTGGAACGAACAGAAAGTAAGGACAAGGCAGCTGTTCCCGATTCTGGATTCTATCCAGGAACCTCTAAACCCCAACTCTAGATCATTGGCAAAACTGTCTTTCATCTTTTTTTTTTCGACTACATAATCGTACTAGCACGAAGATTTCTGCTTTGCTGCTGCCGTCATTACTTCTTATTGTTCCCAGGCACGCCCTACCATGCTTGCGTGCCTGCATGTTTGTAGGCCTTGCTTGCTTCGTTGCTTGGCTACTAGTTTTCTTGCCCGTCGCCTCCTACCACCCATGAAACAGGAGAAAAAAAAAAGGCGAAAGCGCGGCCAACCTTAAGAATTTCAATTTTTTGGGTAGCACCATGCGCGATGCCCCGAAAAACCTGAACATAAAGTGTTGCCAGGCTGCATCACCCTTCCCTCAAACCCTCACCGATGTGCCACTTTCTGCCGGCCTGGAGTTGGGGGCTGGATCTGGTGAGCTCTGCTTGCCAAATTCCAGCAATCCATTTCACCCTGAAGCCGGAAGGAAGCGACCCGCCTTCTGCCTGTCAGCCTGCCGCAGCTGGTCCTCAGGACAAGGACTTCCCTTTTGCCATTCATCCTTGGGGGAGCTATAAAGAAGAGTAGGTGAGCAACTAACAATCATGCCAGGTAGCAACAAGTACAAACAACGCAACATCATAGGAGCAAGGTCACATGCGGCAACACTGGAAAAACATCTTGGGAAGACTGATATTAAGTCATTCTTTGTTCCGCTGACCATTGACACTATCAAATGCCGGCAACAATGACAGCAGCGCCAAACAGTACTCAGTATAGGGACGTCGCAAACATTACGAGTACACTCCTGCCTGCCCACCCTCAACCAGTTGGTCAAGGTCAGCCACAGCTATCCCTGGAAAGGTAGCTACATTCTAAGCCTCTAGTGTGATGGCTTCCAGGGGTTGTAGAACTGCATCGAAATTCTTGCCACTTGGATCCGCTGAACATCGCTGAACCTAGGTTTGACTCCAAGTCCCTGAATTCTACATACTGGGGTTATATTGGGGTTATATTGGGGTTATATAAATACCCCACTACACGGCACCATTGCAAATTGTTGGGTGAAGCCTTGAAGTGCCCATCTGAGAACCCGAGCAGAAGCCTTCTGCGGCACAGAGCCTCATCATTTTCTAGGCACCACAAGATTCTGTGGCCAAACCTGGGGTTGAATCATCTATTACAATTACTATTATCATTATTGGAGTGACCCGTTTTGTATTATTTCTACTAATACAATATGATGATCATCATTATTCTTCTGAATTCTAGCCAAGATGCAAGTCGGTCACACTGGCACTGCGAAGCGCTTTGGTTTTCCTGTGCGTCTCTCTCAATTCAGGAACGTATAGCTTAAAGTCCGTGGCCTAGCCTTTTACTACTCCACCGCTGCAACAGAAGGCAGATCCTGAAGGGCATCTGCCAAACCCTTCCGAATCTAAGCGCAGCGCCACAAAACACTTCACGACACCAGATCAAGTGTTACAAAGCAACTGCCACAACACAGTTTTCATAGTACTGCCTCATGATCAGTCTATCAATAGCGGTGCCTTGCACCAGTGTTTAGTTCCAGCCCTGACGTATAAGAGCGGCACAGCATTGCCGAGAACCCGACTGAGGGAACACGTCGCATGCCCCCTTTGCGCACGACCTCTGCGCCATTAGACTTTTGGCAACGTCACAGGTCGGACAAGCTCAGCCACATGCGGCAATGCAGCTTAGTCCTGAACTTTGGAGGTATTCTCCATAACAATTACAGTTCGTTTGAGCTCGTTTGAGCTCGTCATAGTGTACCCAGTATGCTGGAGGAACGGAAATTGTGACCATGTGTCTGCAGCCGTAACTTATGCCCATAAGAAAATCATCATCCATACTGACATGGGTATCTCACAAATTGGGTGTTTTATGTAATGGTTTTCAAATGGTATCATCCTCACTGTAGGGACCCCACCAGCCAGGTGCATGCGTCGCAGCATGCCGTAGTACCTGACAAGTTTTGCAATCAGGAGCTCAGATTGAGAAGGCTCAAGATTTAGGAAGACTTCATTACTTGGCTGCTTTTAAAATTATAATAGGAGAACGGATTCTGAGATCTGATTTGCCTCTTAAAGTGCATTAGGACTTGAAGGCTCAAGCACCGTTTCCTGAGCAACCCCGTACGAATTGTGCATGAGAGGATCTTTCTCTACATTTATGGAAAACCCATGAAAACGGTAGTAACATCAAATGAAAAACAACGTGACTTCTAAGTGGAATCTTCGTAAACAAATTAGAACTTAACGCAAACATAAATATACTCTAAGTAAATGCAACTGGCTTGGGGGGTCGGACACCTCCCGAAATCACCCATTAGCCGCCCAACGTCGGCGGGCTGGATGGTCGGCCTGCTGTAGGCAGCAGTTGCCTCCAGCCCTAAGCCTTACTACGTAGGAGCTTGTTTAATCAGACTGGATTTCAAGAGATGATCTTGCTGCTTGTTTAGGCTTCTCTAGCAAATACTCGCACATAAATCCTCACACCCCAGTTCCTGGACTGTAAACAATGCCTCGATCCGAGGATGCGTCACATGCTTTCTGGGTCCTGCTGGCCAGGATCCTGATCTTTGGGGATCCTCCTTTGAAGCTTAGCATAAGTACAAATTCATTCTACAAGTTCTTCAGAGGGCTATCAAGGGCTTCCTTCTAGCACTTCACGATGAAGCCTTTGCGTATCCGAAGACCCGCCTGAGCCTGCGGCCGTCAGAAGGCCCCACAGGCAACTCTCAAATGCCCTTGGAACATCTGTACTGATTCCACCTCTTATCCCATGGTAGGTCCCCACATCCTTACAGAACCCACTGGTCCAACCTCACATGTCCAGACTGAGGATGCCGCGACCAAGGTTTCCAGCGACCGCATCGCGGGGCGTCTATGGGTGAAGGCGAGTGTACGGTGGCTGACTTTGGGATCCCGAATTGGGGGATGGTCCAGACGTGGGGTGTGGCTACCCTGGACACTCAACCCTGAAGTTTGGAGAAGGCTTGACAGAAAGAAACCGATTTACAGGGCCTATGATTTCCGTGCTTATGAAAACGAAGGCTGACAAGCACTTGAGATGCAAGGTTCAGGGTTTTGGGTTGACGATTCCGGGCTAAGGGTTAAATCGAGGTTCGCAGTTTTTACATGTTTGCGCGAGTTGGGCTCGTGAGATTGCAGACTCAGCATCGCAAAGCTTCACTGGAATTTCAGTGTCTCAGGGGCACGGCACACCTTCCAGAGACCTTTGCCTCACCCGCCCAAGGCTCTTGGGGATCAGCCTCGAGAGCATCTCTCATAGACTCATAGATTATGATACTATGAATTCTGTCGTGATCTTGTTTGAAACGAAGTCATGCAGAAAACTACGAGATTACAAAGGGTTGAGGATCTTTCTCCGCGAGCACAAGATGGCTTCTGACAATGAGCTGAGGAAAAATGGATCTGACAGGCAGCTTTGCTAACACTTCTTGTTTGCAATGTGGGTCGATGGTCGCCTGCTCTGAAAGCTGCAAGTGCAGAAAGAACTTCACCCTGCATGTGAATTGTTGAACACGAAACTATCAAGCTGGGAGCCTCTTCTCTATCAGCTCAGTTGCCTGCCTACAGGTGCTTCTACATATGCTCGAAACGGACCCCACAAGAACAACATCTCCACTATCGCAGTCTTGACAACGACCATGAGTGCTACATTCAGTAGGCACCATTTGTCTATCAGGTCATCTTCGGAGAGCAGCTCCTTTTTGAAACCACGACGCCAGAAACGATTTGGTATCACCATATCTGAGACTTCAGCCCATGCGACTCGCTGTCGCTTCAGCTCAGGGGCTTTTCGGCGGCACGGGCAACCACACCAATCGCTAGCGACTGCTCGTGAAAACGTGACTTGACGCACCTGCGGTGCTTGAAGCTTCTTGAAAACATTGGTGCACAGGTAAGGAAACTGAGAAAAAAAAGTCCCTTAAACACTGTATCCTACCACATCAGCTGCAACAGCTGTCGCTCAGGCCACGTGGCCAGATGCCCGATGCCCGAAGGTAAGCCACTGGATCCAGCTAGCGAAGCCTGCGACAGTGGACAAACATGAGGCATCACTGGCAAAACTTGCCAACCCCTGCAAATTGAAAATTGAAATCTTTGTAAGGACGAATCTGAGCTTCTATCTAGTGCCTGCAAGCGATACAAGTGTATTCAAACGATTGACTGGCTGCTTTGAAAGATCACTTGAAGGTGCTTTCGGCCGAAGCTTGCAACTCAAACCCGGTACCATCGCAAGCATTTGGCGAAGAACCCCTAAGCTCAAATCTTGCACTGGAATCAAAACAAACGCTGGTGACAAGCTCTTTGTACAAACAAACACTGTGCGCCCAAATTGTGTTGGTCATGTGAAGGCATCAGTTCTTACTTGTGCAGTTGGCTGGCCTGCTAAGCCCTTCCTTGAAGCTCGGATGTATATATGCTCATTTCTGCTTGTCTTATCACTTCAAACATCTCAAGTGCCTATTTAGTTTCAAGGCTTCCGGGTTTGACCTTGAAATTACTAACGAATGACCCATGTCAATTTGCTTGATGTCCGGCTTGCTTCTTCTTCCTCTCAGGCTTGTGGAGATCATCTGCAGCTTAAATTACACCCGAATGAGATTGGCATCTTGCTTGGCGTGTGAAGCTTTTGATTGTTTTTGCCACGGGAGCTTGCCACTAAACGATTTCTTGGTGCAGAGCCCGTTAAACAGTTCAAAAAGCATTGCCAAAACGTTGAAGCAGAACGGCTTCACAAATCATGACAGCAGTTCTCAAACATCTGCATGCATATCGAAAATGCAAGAAACACCATTTCCATCCCGTCGTCTGCTGCGATGTCCGCATGCGTAAACTTACAGTATAACGGCTTATTGGGGTCAGTAGGGAACAAGGGAATATGATGTTCTGTAGGGATTTTGTAGGGGTTATATGGATTCACCAAAGCTCGTGCGATGTTTACGAATTGCGAGCGAGGAACGCTTCAGCAACACGATCTGGACCGCCTGGCAAGGCTCTTTCTAGGCTACAGTATTTTTTGACAACTCTTGCGCCCTCCCCTACCAAGGACAGGCTCTTAAACTGAGCAGTGGCAAAGCCGACGGACTTTGAGTCCGGTGACATCTTAGGCTCAAACAAATTGTTATCAATGCAACTTTGTCACCCCAGAACGAAGCTCCAAAAACATGGAACTTGCTGTTGGGAAAGTGCGGTCACTCGTTTGAGGCCCCAGCTTCCCATCACACCCAGGACGAACACGCCGAGTATCAGAATGGTGCCACCCATCGCGCCCAGGGCACCAGTTTCTGACGGAAGTGCCGGCTTAGCAGAGTGGGATTTGGGGTCCAGAGTGGTGCAGCCCATTAAATCTTGCGATTCAATCTACCACGCCCAAACAAGTTGATGCGAGCAATGGATGGATAGCGCAGCAAAGATGGAGGAGCTGCAACGGATGACACACAGCGATGGGCAGGAAAAAAGTGGATGCAGAGGCACGTACCAAACAGAACAGATCCCAGCGGACGAGCAACAGATCAATCATGGATCTCCGGAGCTGTTCTCCAAAACTCACATGATTTGCACATTCGGCTATCAAGTGGCATGAGCCACCAAAAACCTTGCCAGGCCACCAAAGATGTTCATATCCTTCTCGGCCGCGTTGCCCTGGATGGATGCGTGAGCTAGACTCAGACTTGCTGCTAGTCACTTGCTGCAGTTCGCAAAGAGAGTCACAATCAAACCAATCAAAAGGACACCGCTTGTTGGTCTCTGGCGCATGTTCGGCAAAGTAACGGAAGCGGCCGTCCAGAGACGTTCGTTCGCTATACTGACTGCAGCCCAGTTACTTCTACCTTCAGCATCTTCGGAGAGGCCTTCCCCTGACATGAAACAAGTGCAGCAACTTTCAAGTTCTGCATTGTTGGAACTGTTCGCACCAAGCTAGCGACTGCCTGATCAAAAAGAATGATAACTGCAGGTCAGCCGCAACATTCAGTATCACTGGACAAACTTCATCAAGATGCAGCACACACCTTTAACACCTGAGTACATGCTGTACACTCTCCTAGCTTGTTTGCAACCCAGGTTATGAACAAAAGCACATAACCCTTGTTCGTCAAACGGCACATGAACCAAAGCTGCAAGAGCAAGGGCTTCTCAATTCCCAGTTCATAGCCAACCCCACCATCAAGTTCAACCCAAATCAAAACAACCCCCTATACCACAATCAAAATCATAACAATCAACCTATACCCCTATCCATATCCTAACTTTGAACTGGGAATTGAGAAAGCCTAAAACCTCCCAAAGCCCAACATCCCACCTAATCCAAAAACCTCCCTAAACCCAATAACCCTGAACTGGGGGATGCTCCCCTAATAGAATTTTACTAAAGTTATTTACTAAATATAATTTAGTAAATAAGTTTTCTAGCATAGAATTTAAACTACTTATTAAGAAATATTTAGTTAAAATTGAATTTTACTAAAGTTAATTAGTAGAATGCTATTATGCTTTATGCTTTATGCTTTATGTTCTTCGCTACACAAATGTAAATACCAATTATAGTTCAGTTCTCTCTTCTTGCATTTTGAACAATAAAAATATTCCATCCCATCTTCTATTTTCTTTACATCAGGTCGTTCCAGTTCTTCATTGTTCAGGCTTTTCTGTAAAAAGTATTGGTGGTTTTCGTTTTCTCGTGTTGCGATTTCTTATACTTCTTAATATCATATCTGCATAGTTCGCAATGATGAATGTGTTGTTGGTAGTCTTGACTGTATTGTTTCTTCTTTTCCTTGATGCTGTCAGCATTCGCGTTTTTGTATTTTTGCGCGTATGCTTTCAGCTTTTCAGGGTTATTCAATTTCCATTGTTTTTGGCGTTCAATTCTTTTAATCTTGTTATTCTCTCGGCAAACATCACAAATACGAACCCTAACGCTAAACATTTCGGAAGAATATGTATTATCGCACTGAATACAGGTTTTCATTGTTTCGGTCATCTTCTTACTATATTAAGGTCTTTTGTCTTTAAGCGTTTTTCGTAAAATACAGGCTGTTTAATATTAAGTTGAAGTATAGGATTTTACTAAAATTAATTAGGAAAATGCTACTAATTCTTCGCTTCCTCTCGTTTCATAATGTCAATTGTTCTCGTATCAGCAAGTTCAACAAACATTTTTCCGTTCCTTACATAAACTGTAGTGAAACAACTATTTTCAACATACGGCACACCAGTTAAGGCATCCATAACTTCATTTTTTACCAAGTTTAAGTCATTATTAATTTTAATTAGTTCTTGTTTGCTTTTATATCCAAAGGCTTCTGGCATTAATATATATACTCTCAAATCTTTAAATGTTTTTTGTAAAATACAAGATTTTTATTATACGGAAATTTACACATACTCTCTCTTGACATCATCAAATTTAACACCATAATAATCTAAAGTTTGTTGTTTAGGTTCTTTTATTTCACAGTTGTTTAATTTATTTCACAGTTGTGTAATTTATTAATGTAAACATTTCTTTATTTTTTATAAACATCACTTCCTTTATCCATTGGCTTATTATATTGTTTAGATTTATTAGTTAATTCATCAAGTTTTTTATCAATCAGTTCTAACTTATCCAATATCTTTTGAAATTTTGTTGTCTTAACATCTTTAACATCATCATCTATATCGCTCATATAAAAGTTTTAGATTATTTTTTAAAACTTTTAAAAACTTTGCGTTCTGAACTCTGCCTATCTAAGCATCTCCTACATACAATATTATAATCTTTGTGTTTCTGTAAGCTTATGAAATTTTCCATTTCTTTACATACATTGCATACCGGACAAACTCTTACTTCCAAAAAGTAATAACTAAATCCATCACAATTATGAGAGAATGATACTATAATTTTATCAGTGTATATGGTCATATAATTCGCTTTATAATAAAAAATATAAAGCCAATTACTTAATGCTTTAACAAACTAATTAAGCACCATCTTATGTGGTGCTATTGAATGTTCCAACACTACTTCCCTTTCGTGAGCCCATCCAATGTGAAACGGCAACTACATAAGGGACACTCACCAGAGGCTCGTGAGTA